GCAGTCGTCAGGGATACCCACACTCACCCGAACCAAGGGGGTTTTCGCCGCGGAAGAGGCTGTGTTGAACAAATCTTCACTCTCCGCAGAATTCTGGAACACCGTTACAAGTTCCAACAGCCTACCACTACATGTTTCATTGACTTCTGCGCTGCGTTTGACTCTGTCGATAGAGAATCCTTGTGGTGCATATTGCGGTCTGACGGGATGCCTGAGAAGTTCATCAGACGTTTAAAGTCATACTACTCAGGAATCCGGGCAAATCCGGGCACGTCCCCTTACTTATGGAGAAGAATCGGCTGAGTTCACCCTAAGCTCTGGAGTTGGGCAAGGTTGTCCTCTATCGCCGGTGTTATTCAACTACACCGTAGATTGGATAATGCAACAAGCACTCATCGACTACCCTGGAGTGCAGCTTGGCCCAGATACATGGATTGCGGACCTCGAGTTTGCGGATGATGTCGTCGTACTTGGAGACAGCATGGACAACCTCCAGCCTGTTGTCAGTCGTATAAATCTGTTTACCCAGTCCATTGGGCTGGAGATCAACATGTCGAAAACGATATTTTCGACCGAAACTTCTACCACCCTCTCGATTAACGGGGAGCTTGTCGAATCACCCGAAGTTTTCAAGTATCTTGGCTCTACGATAAGACCAAACGGCCAGACTGAGGATGAAATTCAACGCCGTGTAGATGGAGCTAGAAGAGCCTTCCTACAACTCCTCGAACCGTTGTGGAATCGATGCGAAATAAGCTCAAACACTAAGCTTCGGGTTTACCAGGCTTCTATCCCGCGATCCTCACTTATTTTTGTGAAACCTGGCCACTAAGAGTACAAGATATAAGGAAGCTCGAAGTCTTTGATCATTAGTGCTTACGCTGCATCTTGAAAGTAAATTGAAGAGATCGGATTTCCAATGATGAGGTTCGACGGTGCTGCTTGAACATGGACAAGCTTTCAAAAATGCCACAATGCCGGCGCCTTCCGTGGTTTGACCATGTAATCCGAAGGCTCGAAACTGAACTCTCGCTACAGGCTGTAGCTCCCGCACCGTGCACTGGATGGCGTTGCCGACTCAGTGGTCAACTAAAGATCTGGAGTAGTACGATTAAGGCGGATTTGGATTTACTGGATCTTCAATCTGTATATGGAATTCACAACTGGAACCAGAACTGGGTTTCACACTGCGTGAACCTTGCTACCGATCGCCATGCATGGACCGCCATCATTAGGGACATCCAGGAAGCCAACTTATCCTCCCGCAGGAGTTAGTCGATCAAAAGTCAATTCCACACACATGCAAATCATTGAACACCTTCCTTTTTCATAAAGATTATTGTACCATGGCTTGTTTGGCACGGTCTGGATTCAGACGTGCGTGAAAATATAGATCCCGTTAGGATCCCTGGCTGGGGATCCCGAGATGATGATCACCGATGGTTAGGGACACTGATATGGCTGGGTGTCGCAAACAGTGGCGCTCATGCATCTACTCATTATTCTTGTAACGTCAGTCTATATGGATTTGCTCTCTTCCGCTTGAATCTGTTGTCAACATGCTAATCTTCATTCTGCTTTTTTATCCAANTGGTCAACCAAAACCGGCGCATGAAAGTTCTTGGTTAATGGTTGTAAGAGCTGAACTGAACTGATGTATTGAAGTAGGTATTCACCAATATGCGGAAGTGATGAAACCAAGCCATCCATAAATCACACGTACGGGTCCGTCATCTTGATGTCTCAAGCCGTGAATTATAATGAGGCACCCTTGAATTCGCATGAAGCTGGGACAAAAGAAGGAAGCTAAAAATGGTAAAGCCCCAGGCATGAAGTTCTGCTAGGATACAGGAGCTCTGCACGCCTGGGAACAAGCATAAGGTAATTATGACTCAACGGAACTTAAAACCTAATATTTCATTGATATCCTTCCGGAGGATCACCTAATGGGCGTCACTACCCGTGCCACCTAATTTCCCTCACCACTGAAGCGTTGTCTGTATCTTTTTCCTCCGCAGCTAGATTTACTCTAAACATTTTGCTACCTGTTTATGCCAGTCTGTCCCAGACACGCTGAGTTGGCTCCTACTAGATCCTGCTTGGTGTCACTGTCGAGCTTCTTCCTGGAGACAGGGTGGTAGACTCTGAGTATGTCGATGTTATTGCCTTACTCGGTGACACCACACCAACATTTCAGGAGTCGTAAAACCGTTTCGAAATTAAGGTTACTCGCTATGGTATGTCCTTTGCACCTTTAAAGTGTAAAGTGTTGTTGCGAAATTGACAGGAACTCATTCCTGCACTTTCGTTAGTTAATGACACTCTGGAAGGAGTCGAAAGTTTTGTCTACCTTGGGAGTTGCGTAACGGCTGGCGGAGGTGTGGGCGAGGAGTTCTCTCAACGCGTGATCAAAGCTGGATTAGCGTTTGCTAATCTGCGGCATCTCTGGCACCGGCGCAAAGTATCCCTTTCACTGAAGGGGCGTGTGTATTGCGCAACGGTACGCACTATTGCACTATGGCTACGAGGCCTGGCCTTTTGAGCAGATCGCGTCCAACGACTATCCGTATTCGACAACCCTTGTCTGCGCAATATCTCCCGCGTATGTTGGGAGCATCGTCTGAATAACATTGAAGTCAGACGAATTTGTTGTTCCCTCAAGTTGACTGTTTTGTCTTCCTTCTGTCCCCATTTTTCGTTCACCCATGGTTATTTTGGCGCCGTATCTGTAAAGATTATATATATATATATGTATATATATATACGCAATCCAGTGCGGCGACAGCGACTTTCATTCACCTGTTTTCGTTACTTACTGTTCCTTTCAGATTGAAGCACAGTTATATCTCAGCTTGCATTACCGTACTGCTCAAAGTTGAAATGTTTCCGAGCAATTAAGTTGTAACCACCTCAGTGCACCCCTCTTTTCGGGGCTGATTGTTCTGGATCTATTGCGTCTTGAGGACAAAGTGGGTGTGTCAGAAAGAAGTTAAAACCGAATTATACAGTATCGATTGTCACATGGTTGCTCCGATATCGGAAAAAGTAAGTCTTCATCAGAATACATCCATTCTCTCCTCTTTGTTCTGTTTCGATTCGCCGGTGTATGCTGCTAACTTTTTAATGACATCCCGGTTGTAGTGAAAATAAAACATAGGGGTTTCTTAGGTTCATTTCAAGTTGTGACATTCCTAACATATCTTTCGTTACACCGTTTTGTGTCGATCAGGACGTCAGCGAATCCACCTGTCACCAAACCTTGAACCTTGAACCTTGAAGCCAAAGCGCACCAGCCAGTATTCTGAACCGCTTCAAACACAAACAATTTGGCTATTCTTGTTCAATTTAGTCGTAGATGAAGTACTGGAGAACGCAGTAAGTTGTCTCCAAAATATAGGTATTGAATGGGCCGTTCGAGGAATGCTGTGCGATTTAGATTTCGCTGACGACATCGTTTGCCTGTGATAATCTCTGGAGGATACACGAAGGGCGCTTGACAGATTAGCAAGTTCTGTCGCTCCGTTTGGCATGCACTTTTCGCTTCCAACGTTCGAAGTGATGCTGTAAGACTGGGTGTCGCCGAGCCGCGTTCTGAAACTAGATAGTCTGGAATTAGCTGAAGTTGACTGCTTCTCGAACTTGAGTAGCTGCGTAAGCACCAACATCAAATGAGATAACCACACCCATTTCCAAGGCTCTAGCGGCTTAGGCAGGACTAAAGCACGTGTGGCGACAACGTTACATTTCACCAAATTTGAAAAGTTACTTATATTGTCGCCTACCGCACCGCGCCTTATTTGCAATGGCTGCCGCAGACTGAAAAATGTCACGTGGAGGTCCACAGATGGCGTGGAGATAAAGCATGAAGAAATGCACAAAGCGATTACGTAGAGTCATCTTCCGGATTAGAGTCCTAAATATTTCGTTACTCAATGGTCGGAGACACTGAAGGTCATGGCAATCTTTCTGTCAGTTTTTATCAGATCAGAATGCATGAAATAGTGCGTGTACAGTTGGACTGTGTACTTTTGCTTTCTTTCCCCCGATATAGGCCCAATCCCTATCCTCCTTACACATTTTCATTTACCTTGTATGCATTATGAGTGTGGCAGCGATCAGTGAAGTTCGCTTCACTGTATTATGCTGTACGATGATGGTGATGAACAATTTTGTGTAATCCGTTCAGAAAAGTTGCCTTTCTTTTTTTTTCTCATCTGGCCATCGATTCTCAAAGTTGAGTTTACGAAAGTGTCGCAGTTCCCGGTGATAGCTACATTTCCAACACTGATTACTAGTGGGATTTCAGAAGTCCTGCTGAGTTAATGAATCAACAAGGTGAAACGAAATCAGACGATTTCTACCGGATCTATTTATTGTGTACTGCTGCTCTGATCCCCATCAGAATATTTTTTTATTAGGCGAGCTGTTCGATTGTCTGGTAGCACCAAGCGTTTGGAACATTCCCCTTTTTTATAAAGATCTTTATACTATGGTTTATTTGGCACAGTCTGAGTGCAGACGTGTGTGAACTACACATTACAGTTGTGTGTGGTTGTCATGACGCTCTTGCATTGAGACATGTGATCAGTAACGTTATATATTCGCGTCAGTGAGTTGTACGGTCATCGTTTTGAGTGCTACTGTTTTTTGGTACGTTGCAGCGCTTACTGAAGATAGTCCGCGAAATTAACGGTATGATTACCCTTACTCTAACTTCATCTCTGATAACCGAGCTGACTTCTCTATCCACAAACCACGAAAACAAGACTACGCACTGTCTTAAAGTACGCATCACGGGGATTAAAGTTATTTGTCCCACATCAAGCCCTTGTGAGATATTGCCCACACTGAAGGTAAATTATCGTGCGAAGTCGATTCGCCTTAGATATGTGCGGTGTCCCCGGAAGACTTCTCCGACCGAACTTAATGTAAGGCAAACAACTTCGGTCTCGTAAATGATTGTTTGGAGTTTGACAACCTGTAATTTGTTTCTGGCATTACCTGGCCTTCTTTTGGAAATCTCTGAACTGGAAACATATTATGAGATGGTTGTGGTTGGTCACGAGAAAGGTATTATGCCTTGGTAATCGATAGGCTACCTCTTTGACCACTTCGGTTTTCGGTGCGTATACAACAACTGCCACTATGTTCATGATTCTGTGTTGCGAAAGTAAATCCCAAGAATTCTAGACGATATATCTTCCATTGCATACCAATTTTTGCTGAAAGATAGACTAAAACCTTCAACTTTTCCGAGGCGTTTGCATCGAACACCGGACTTCTTTAGACGAGCCTCCAAAAGACAGACGGCATCTTTCTAGTAGTCATACAAAGTGTTTAACATAATTTTCTTTTCTCCATAACATGAATGTCCGGAGGTTGTGGTGGCCGATTTAAACGCGGTTCTGTGTATGGTGCACATGTGCATGATTTGCGGTCAAAACTCATGCTCTTTCCGTATTGTTTTTGTTGTTGATTTCTCGCAGTCGCAATTGGATCAGCTGATCGAGGTCAGCAATCATGGCCTGGTTGTGATTGACTTCTTTGCCACATGGTGTGACCCATGCAAAGAAGTTGAACCAGTGGTCGCAAAATTTCCAGAAACCTATCCTTCAGTCACATTTGCTAAAATTGATGTGGATGAATTTCCAGTGAGTGGTTCTTTGATTGTTGTGATTCTCATTGTGTCCGTATATTGTTTCTGTTCTGATGCCTATACCTTATGTGTCAAGACATGATGCATTTAATCAGGAAATTCGGGCTCCTGATGAGGTATTTGCCATTTCTTTTGGTGGTCCGGTGAGTCATCGGCTAATTTTCCATTCGATTTTATTTGCGCAAAATACGGTGTGGTTACACATTGTGCGATGAATAATAGGAGGGATAGATCGCGTATATAT